CACATTTTGATTTAATTCGGCTAATTTAGAGCAATATTACAAAATGTCGCCCATGGGCGAGAATATTTACATTTGCTCAAAATACATGGTTTTTTTTCAATGATGTTGAGGTTGTATTGTAAATACATGAAAGTACGTTTATAAGTATCATGATACAAAATTTAAATCTTTTGACTTAATTGGACTAATTTAGAGGTTTATAAAAATTGTCTCGGCCATGGGCGAAAATAGTTACATTTAGTCAAACCTCAGTAATATATATCAATCCACAAGGGGCGAAACAGTTTGAATTAAATTTCAAAATTCATTTGTTTTGGTTTGCGAAAAAAACATATATCACTGTCTATAACTATCCTGACACTTGACAAAATTCTTTCTCCGTTTCTTTAAAAAACCCAATGCGAATTGCTTCATTTGATCCTTATGATCAAAGTTCGTTGAAAAATATGAAAACAACTCACTGATGACAATGATTTGAGTGTAAGTGAGTTAATATATATTGTCACATCTCGCATTTCGCGCTGTTCCTTTAGTTGCCACTGCGCTCTTGTAACAAACTTGGAAAACGCACAAATAAATGATGACAGTTCCTTAAACAACTTTTTAATTTTTGTGACACAAATTATGCAATTTTTTTCTAGAGTTGGTCTGTTGTTTTTATTGCAGTCCGCGTTGGTTTGATCTATTTGTTTTTGTGTTAGATTGCAATTCATCGGTATCATTTTGTCTCAAACGGGCTGTAATCAATAGATGAGACATATTCAACACACATGAGAAAGAATAAACTATCTTTGAGATGACCCCTTGTGCCCGTAGGCAGCACATGCATTTCATGACAGACAGACAGACAGACAGATATAGTTTATTAAGGTGTCACGTGAACGATTACATGAAATAAAATACACAATATACATAGTAAAATATCGTTTACCCAGCCAATAAGGCTTATGAGACACCATACACAATTTAATAACTATGTACATTTCGTTTTAGAGTAAAATATAAGAGGTAGTTTAAATGAATAACATTTTTACAGGAATAGGAGTCGTCTTCTCAACATGTTATTCACAGTGGTTTATAAAATTAGCGGGTCTGACGACATTAAAATACTTAATAAATGCACATTGTTATCCTACTTAAAACGATACGTCGTCATACCTGGCTGAGCGACCTAATTGCCATTTATAGTTTGATCTATTGTTTGCAGCAGCTATTCGTATTTTTTCTACGTTTTGCCCGATTTTACGTGTAAACAGGCTTTTCTGGATATCCTATTACGCTCTCCATTGAAACGCAAAGTTAGGCCGAAGTGGGTTATTTCGACATAATGCTGTTTGCAATTGTGTAAATTGTAGGGATACAGAGTAACAGCCTAAACAGTTTTATTCTATTTCCGACAGTACTTTAAATTCAATTGACAGTCCAGAAAATGCATGTGAAATTTACATTATATACATGATATCTTCATGTTTGTTCAAAATTTTGGAGTCATGTGGATTGAATGCAATCCTTTTATCTAATTAAGTATTTTGTTAGTTAATTATCACTAGACCTTGCACAATATGCCTTCAGTTTATAGGGTTCCGGGTATTCTATGTCATTGCCCTGACTCCTTACTTCATTCATTGACCGCCTCCCTCGTGTAGTGGTTAGAGCGTCCGCCCGGAGAGCGGAAGATCGTGGGTTCGATCCCCGACCGCGTCATACCAAAAGACGTTAAAATATGGTACTTGTTGGTCCCTGCCTGGCGCTCGGCATTAATGGGTACATCAAGGACTGGTCGGCTCGGAGTCAGTATAATGTGTCTGAGTGGGGTTGGGGTATTCATGCTTCACTGCGGCGTGGTATCTCAGTGGGCTAGCACTATAAAACCAGCTTAAGTCTGGGCTAGTACAAGCAGCCGCACATACACATACACACGCATGCACGTCGTCATATAAGCGAAATATTCTTAAGTACGCCGTAAAACCGAATTTCACCTTACTATTTCATTTATTAAAGGTTGTTGTAATCATATGTAATTACGTGAAGGTGTATCATTTTCGTACCGACCATCTGCCAGATGGGCGGCCCGCAATCTTTGCGTCATTAAATGAGGTGTTTATTTCAGGGCTGCGGTGAGGGTGTATGGCAGTCAACACAGTGTTTCGGCCCTGGTATTACCAAGAAACTATTTATACAACACTGCTGTGTCTTCCAATCAAGATTTCAGTCATTTTGGTGTCGGGGTGAATTTAGGGATTTTATGTGCGATTCCTGTGGTTCCGATTTTGTATCAGTGAGTTATTGAATCGGGTTGATGCAGCTTGCAAAGCAGGAAACACAACTCAAAAGAAGGGATGGCGAGTTCATGGTGAGACCTGTAGATGTTGGGAAGAAGGGTTAATGTCTGACCTGTAGATGTTGGGAAAAAGGGTTAATGTCAGACCTGTAGATGTTGGGAAAAAGGGTTAATGTCAGACCTGTAGATGTTGGGAAGAATGGTAAATGTCAGACCTCTAGATGTTGGGAAGAAGGGTTAATGTCTGACCTTTAGATGTTGGGATGAAGGGTTAATGTCTGACCTCCAGATGTTGGGAAGAATGGTTAATGTCTGACCTCTAGATGTTGGGATGAAGGGTTAATGTCTGACCTCTAGATGTTGGGAAGAAGGGTTAATGTCTGACCTCCAGATGTTGGGAAGAATGGTTAATGTCTGACCTCTAGATGTTGGGATGAAGGGTTAATGTCAGACCTCTAGATGTTGGGAAGAAGGGTTAATGGTCAGACCTGTAGAAGTTGGGAAGAAGGGTTAATGTCTGACCTCTAGATGTTGGGAAGAAGGGTTAATGGTCAGACCTCTAGATGTTGGGAAGAAGGGTTAATGGTCAGACCTGTAGATGTTGGGAAGAAGGGTTAATGTCTTACCTCCAGATGTTGGGAAGAATGGTTAATGTCTGACCTCTAGATGTTGGGATGAAGGGTTAATGTCTGACCTCTAGATGTTGGGATGAAGGGTTAATGTCAGAACTCTAGATGTTGGGAAGAAGGGTTAATGTCTGACCTTTAGATGTTGGGATGAAGGGTTAATGGTGAGACCTGTAGATGTTGGGATGAAGGGTTAATGGTGAGACCTGTAGATGTTGGGATGAAGGGTTAATGGTCAGACCTCTAGATGTTGGGAAGAAGGGTTAATGGTCAGACCTCTAGATGTTGGGAAGAAGGGTTAATGGTCAGACCTTTAGATGTTGGGATGAAGGGTTAATGGTCAGACCTGTAGATGTTGGGATGAAGGGTTAATGGTCAGACCTCTAGATGTTGGGAAGAAGGGTTAATGGTCAGACCTCTAGATGTTGGGAAGAAGGGTTAATGGTGAGACCTGTAGATGTTGGGAAGAAGGGTTAATGTCTGACCTCTAGATGTTGGGAAGAAGGGTTTATGTCTGACCTTTAGATGTTGGGATGAAGGGTTAATGTCTGACCTCTAGATCTTGGGAAGAAGGGTTAATGGTGAGACTTGTAGATGTTGGGATGAAGGGTTAATGGTCAGACCTCTAGATGTTGGGAAGAAGGGTTAATGGTCAGACCTCTAGATGTTGGGATGAAGGGTTAATGGTGAGACCTCTAGATGTTGGGAAGAAGGGTTAATGGTGAGACCTGTAGATGTTGGGATGAAGGGTTAATGGTCAGACCTCTAGATGTTGGGAAGAAGGGTTAATGTCAGACTTCTAGATGTTTGGAAGAAGGGTTAATGGTCAGACCTGTAGAAGTTGGGAAGAAGGGTTAATGGTCAGACCTCTAGATGTTGGGAAGAAGGGTTAATGGTGAGACCTGTAGATGTTTGGATGAAGGGTTAATGGTGAGACCTCTAGATGTTGGGAAGAAGGGTTAATGGTGAGACCTCTAGATGTTGGGAAGAAGGGTTAATGGTCAGACCTGTAGATGTTGGGATGAAGGGTTAATGGTGAGACCTGTAGATGTTGGGATGAAGGGTTAATGGTGAGACCTGTAGATGTTGGGATGAAGGGTTAATGGTCAGACCTGTAGATTTTGGGATGAAGGGTTAATGCCCGACCTCTAGATGTTAGGAAGGTGTGTGTGTGTGTGTGTGTGTGTGTGTGTGTGTGTGTGTGTGTGTGTGTGTGTGTGTGTGTGTGTGTGTGTACGCATACGCATGACTTGGGGTAGGGACTGTGGGGCACCATGTCACATCATCAACCTCACCTGCAGGAACTTCGCCGACGGCCTCAACGTCTACGAGCAGCGCCCCAACTCACATTACTACGTTGAGTGCCTTAATCAGCGTCTAGTGAAGACTGGCGTATGTCCCGCTTGTACTGGTACAGGGGCACCAATCTTTGACGCACAATTACGCCAATGCGTGTGTAAATAAATCATCCGGTTGCTTAAAACAGTAATGTGTTTTGAAAATTAAAGACTATGTAAAAAATGAGTGTATTTGTGTGTAAATGCTTGGTTAAGGATTATTTAGGATGTATATAATTTTGGTTGGTTGGTTGTTGTTTAACGCCGCACTAAGCAATATTCTAGCTGTGGTTGAAGGGTTGAGTGGTTAGGTGTGAGGTTGAGTGTGTGGTCGAGTGTGTGGTTGAGTGATGAGTGGGCTAGTGAGTGAGTTTTCGCAGTGTAGGGAAATATTCCCGTGTGACGTGAGTGGGTAAGTGGGTAAGTGAGTGAGTGAGTGAGTGAGTGAGTGAGTGAGTGAGTGAGTGAGTGAGTGAGTGAGTGAGTGAGTGAGTGAGTGAGTGAGTGAGTGAGTGAGTGAATGAATGAGTGAGTGAGTGAGTGAGTGAGTGAGTGAGTGAGTGAGTGAGTGAGTGAGTGAGTGAGTGAGTGAGTGAGTGAGTGAGTGAGTGATCGAGTGAGTGAGTGAGTGAGCCGCACTTGAGACAAGGAAATATTTTGTACAGCGTCCATGAGAATCCAACTCGCTTATCCCGAATATTCTCATCACGGCGCTGACAAACACTGCAGTGAATTACCAGACACTGAGAAAAGAAATAATTGGTAGAGAAGTGTATTCATTCAAACAGTTTTACAAGTACAATAGTCAACGTACACTGAAGTCATAGTAACGGTCATGTTAATCTAGAATCGTATACAGAACGTAAAATATCCAATACTTGGATCATAATTAGAAGGAATGCAGATTAAGAGAGCAGAGAAAACGTTAACCATCACGTTAGATTGACGTGAGTATCACTACCAAATATGGAATAGCAAGTCATAACAGTGTAGGTTAGAAACAGTACTAAGTGCAAGAAATTGAGATGGTCGGTTCTTGATCTTCATGTCTTCAATCAAGGAGCTCAGAGCACGTCCTCCTGACTTTGTCGAAATTCTGTGGTCCGTACTTCTGTGAACATTTCCCCGAATACACCATACGTTCGTTGACACACACGGCAAAGTAGGCAGGGTCATACATCCCCACCCATTCGTTCAAGCCGTCAGGAAGACCCTTGCAAACTGGTTAGGTCAAATAGCAGGGCCGACAGTGAGCTGCCTCGCACTGGTTCCCGCGGTAGTCGCCTGTCAGAGAGATGATGGAGAGTGAGTGAGTGAATGAGTTTGGTTTAACGCTTGTTTGATAATTAGTTAACATGTATCAGGGCGTTTACGCTTCACTTGGGAGGGAATCCCGAAGTAATGCATGTCTAAGGCGCTTAACAGTTGACCATATAAATAACACAAGGTATCGCCATAGATCATTAGCATTGATTATAAATTCACACAATGCCATTGAGAACGTGGTCAAATGTGACATATGTTATATTTGGGATTACACTTTCTTAGTAAAGATACAGTTTCTATTACTTTTGTTGGGTTGAGTATCATCCGGAACTCGAACCCACACCTTCAGAGTCAGGCACCTAATCGCCAGCATACAAAGTCAGCCGCCTAACTCGCTCAGCCACCGCGACTTCCACTGACTTTGTGTGTTGGCGATTAGGTGCCTCACTCTGAGGGTGTGGGTTCGAATCCCGTATGGGACAAAAAGTACTAGAATCTGTAAAGTATTAAGAAAGTGTAATCCCAAATGTAACATATGTTACAAAGTCTTAAATTTTCATATTTTGATCACTCGTTGTCAATAAGATCCGATTTAAAGAGGGTAATAGTTTGCTATTGAAACGTAATAGTTTACGACATACTCACACTGAGCTGTAGGTTCAAACCTGTCGCCGCAGTCGACCATGCTGTAGTGCTCACACTGTTTGTTCTTGACGTTGAAGAGTTGGGGGTAGGGACACTCCCTCAGATGCTCAGGCCAGTAGTATCCCTGCTTGGACGCGGAACAGTTGAAGTACTGGGCACAGTGGGTGGGGTGGGGAATCAGGTCACTGGAGTCGGGGGGACAGTTAGCCTGTGTCTCCTTTTCCGTCTTGGTACCTGGCGATTAATATAGATTAAGAACTTAGTTAAGCACCCCCTGACATATCTCACGATTGAATGAGATCTTATCCCTTTGGGGCATATCTGGGACATGACTGTGTAACAAAGGGATCCTGTTGTACAGAACCTGGCCCAATTGAAAGCTGCTTTACTCGAAGAATGGCGTGGACTGTACCCTTCAGAGCATCAGGAGGCTGATCTGGGGTATGATGAGGAGAGTGCTGGCTGTCATACAGTCACATGGAGGTTACACTCGGTATTGATCTTGAATCGTGTAAGACACGCAAAATGACATCTTGAATGTTCACATTCCACAATGAATTCAACATTAAACATCCCAGGGCCATACTTGTACAGACATGGTTTTGTATGAAAATCGACATTGTTTTAAAATGAGCAATTATCATCAAAAAATCAAAAATTCCAATCATTTTGTCGTTTTTATGAGTCAAAGAATCATACGGGTCAGAAAAACTCATGTTTTTCCATCGTGGTCACCACGGGATTTTTTTGTACGTGTTGAAAACCTATCCTACTAAACTACAGGGGATGCTTAATTAAGTCTATTTGTTTGAGGGTGTGTGTTAAGGCTACATGTGCCCCATACATATACAACCGCTGATTCATGTCTATACAGTATATAACAAAGATTACACAAATACACGCTTTTGAGATCTTTCTTTGACAAATATAATTTAACGATGAACCAGCTTCCAAACATAGCCAAATACACCTGTACAAATGACACAGAGGCCTGCACGTGCAAATCGAGGTGTCTTGGGTACAAATATTGAACCACGAAGTGAACAAAAAGGTTTGGTTTGTTGTTGTTTAACGCCGCACTCAGCAATATTCCAGCTATATGGCGGCGGTCTGTAAATAATCGAGTCTGGATCCGACAATCCAGTGATCAGCATCATGAGCATCGATCTGCGCATTTGGTATACGATGACATGTGGCCATGTGGGGAATCGAATCCAGACCTTAGGCGTGACGAGAGAACGCTGTATCCACTCGGCTACCCCACCACCACCTGACTATAGAGTTTAATACTTACAGCTGTCGTAGATGGATCCAGGGGATGCACATGTTTTGGTCCAAGGATCGAACACAAGGTGTGAACAGTTATATTTGTACAAGTTATTATTTATGCACAAATAATACACCGAACAGTCATCGGGATCTGTTCTGTAGTCCGGGCTGGTTGTAGTCACACAACTACCCACAGGTGTTGAGGCTGTTGCCATGGCGACGACTAAACACGCGAGTACAATTCGAAATACCATGACGAAATATAAATTTAGAGACAGGAATTCACCTGTGGTATTATACAGCTATACGAAAGCTCAGTAGATTTAAACCCCTGCAGTATATACGTTTTTCTCGTGTAAATCTGTGAATTGTGACCGAGGTGAGAGTTAAAGGCCTATTTATAGTTATTTCAGGCATGGAACTCCCACTAAGCATATAGATGATTTCCTGGCAGCTTTTGTAGTGACGTCACCGCCGTGAAAGGTTCTGTTTGTCTAATGTGACACCTGATTAGATATTCCTGATGTAACCCGCTAGCGCCGCCTGGTGATGGATCAGCGATGACTTTGGGCTTGTCGTATATCACCTAAGCGATTGGTTAGGGAGACGAGTTAGTGAGTATGTTTTACGCTGCTTTGATGAATATTCCAGCAATATCACGGCGAGGGACGCACAAAAACTGGCAGACACTGTGCCCAACAGCACGAGTAAACCAAAGTGCTCTTATAAATGCGACTTTATGCTAATGATAATTGTATATGTGTCCCTCTGTGTAATAAGTGAGTGAGTGAGTGAGTAATGTCGGACGCCGCTTTTAGCAATATTCTAGCAATTTCACTGCGGGGAACACCAGAAATGGGCTTCACACATTGTACCCATGTTGGGAATCGAACCCGGATCTTCGGCGTGAGGAGCCAGCGATTTAACTATTAGGCTAACTCACTTCCCCACTGAGATATATGGTCGCTTGAACAACTAGGTCACCCAAACGGCCTTTCGGGAACGGGTGAATCGGGACATTTTATTATTTAATAATAGACCATGTACCTGATATGCTATTTTTATATCATAAGATACACAAAAAGTTGTTATCAGAGTTGAGTAATATTGGTAATGTGTTTTGTTACATGGTTTGTTTTCGTACTGACAAAAGAGGAAACGCATAGGAAATGGAATGTTTTTCATTGAACGATGTTCGTCTCATGTTTATTAACTGGTGTAGTGGACAAACGCAGCTGTTTTAAACTTTCGTAGCTTCATGCAACAACAGGGGCGGTGGGATGGCCTAGTGGTTAAAGCGTTCGCTCGTCACGCCGATTCCTCACACGGGTACAATGTGTCAAACCCATTTCTGGTGTCTCCCGCCGTGATATTGCTGGAATATTGCTAAAAGCGACGTAAAACTAAACTCACTCACTCATACAACAACGTTCATAGGCTGCACGAAAGGAAAGGACATTTTATGGAAAGGAAATCGAAATCGCACTTGCAAGTTGTCAGACCCAAGTGCAGTGACATTGGCTACTGACGATCACATTTCTGAAAGACATTTAGAAGTGGAATGCATCAGAAAAGCAAGATTTATGGATGTCAACTTCTTTATTGTGAATAACAAGACGTTTCGGAGTGTATGCTTGCTCCTTCATCAGGTGAGTGTATGCTTGCTCCTTCATCAGGTGAGTGTATGCTTGTTCCTTAATCAGGTGAGTGTATGCTTGCTCCTTAATCAGGTGAAGGTATTCTTGCTACTTCATCAGGTGAGTGTATGCTTGTTCCTTAATCAGGTGAGTGTATGCTTGCTCCTTCATCAGGTGAGTGTATGCTTGTTCCTTAATCAGGTGAGTGTATGCTTGCTCCTTCATCGGGTGAGTGTATGCTTGCTCCCTCACCAGGTGAGTGTATGCTTGCTCCTTCATCAGGTGAGTGTATGCTTGCTCCTTCATCAGGTGAGTGTATGCTTGTTCCTTCATCAGGTGAGTGTATGCTTGCTCCTTCAACAGGTGACGATGATTTCTGGTGTAACCATGTCGTGATATTGCTGGAATATTGGTAAAAGCGGCGGAAAACCCAACACACTCACTCACTTACTATGAAACACTGAACGTTATTCACCTAATTGCGTTTGACAGATTCGTCTGCGATATTCGGATGGTGTGGAGGGCCATGTCCTACGTGTATACAGGGAGATCTGACGTGGTTGTGGATCAGAGGAATCTGACAGCCAATCGGTACATCAACCAAATTCTTCATCGTCATCTCCTTCCGATCATTAACCGACAGAGACAGCTGTTTCACCATGAAACGCTACTTTACACACTTTTCGTTTTACTGTTGACGTCCTTCACAATTCAAATGTCAGCGTCTTACCATGACCTTCCACATCTCAGGATCTGAAGCCGAAAGAGCATCTGTGGGTAGACGTCGAGAGGCGTGAAGGTCAACGTCAACATACGTCACAGTACTCATTGCGTTGTAAGAATAATCAAAAGTTTCACAAGGCGTTTAACGGTACACGGTGCACGTACGCATCTTGTGACGGAAAACAAACAGTATCGCCATTGTGTGTCAAGGTCACATGACAGTCAATACGCGCAGATGAATCCTCGTATCAGTCATATGAAATATGCAAATTTAATTGAAGACTATATTTTTTTCAAAGAGAATACTTGATAATATTTCCAAATCCCATTTTTTTCCGTCAATTGATTAATCAAATATTACAATTCATTACGTGATTAATCTAAGACGGTGACGTTTAAGGCGTTAACTGCATTAGTGTTTTAAAATCCCAAATTAGGCGTACATGTATCCCTAAGTTGTCTTCCCTACTGTATTTAATTAAAATAAAAATTCAAATTCCAAACTTAATCCGCAGTAACAGCAAACATGTGCGACAGTGTTTGTACCGCTCACGGTTCTTATACATACAGTGTCATACGTTCGTCTTCATTAGCATCCTCCCTCGTCTTGCCCACTCGACAAATATACTCTCCCAAAAAAGAAACGCATATAGGAATTTCAACTGTATTTTTATGTTTATTTTGAAACATCTTGTAGGCTTTATGAGTTAATGAAATATAGCGAAATTGCACACTGGGAATGCAGACTTATCCGTCTTTGGCACCAACTCGAGGAAAGTCAGTTTGAGTGTCACATGAGACGTGTGTTGGCGCTGAAGTCAATACCTCGTGTGACCACCGTGGGCATCAAGAACTGCACGGCATCGCCTTGGCATCGAACGAATAAGTCTCAGAATCTCGTGTTGCCCAATCGCAGCCCACTCTGCCTGTAGTGCCTGTGCGAGTTGCTGAAGTGTCTTGGGCTGAGGGTTACGGCGTCGCACCCGTCTGTCCAGGGCATCCCACAGATGTTCGATCGGGTTTAAGTCCGGTGATCTTGAGAGCCAGGGGAGCACATTGATGTTGTGGTTCTGGAGGAAGTCTCTAGTGTGACGTGCTGTGTGGGGCCTGGCATTGTCCTGTTGAAACAACTCCCTCTGGCGATCAATGATTGGAAGGAGATGTGGGCGTAGGATTTCGTCACAGTACCGTTGAGCTGTCAGGTTGCCCTGGATCATCACCAAATCACTTATCCTACGGCAGGTGATCGCTTCCCCGGCCGATTCAGTCCACCTTGGGAACGCAAGCGTCGGCGAAACGTTCACGTCGACGTCTGTACACACGCATTCTTCCATCGCGTCGTTCCAATAGAAATCGTGATTCATCACTGAACCAGATTCTACGCCAATTCGGTAGGTTCCAGGCCTGAACGTTGGTGCACCATTGAACTCGATGTCGACGATGTTGTTGTCGAAGCACAGGGTCAAAATAAGGTCTTCTGGCACGTAAACCAGCCTCTCTCAACCTGTTCCTGACGGTCTGTGCAGAAAGCCTCCTCAATCCTGGTATTTGTCGAGCGGTACTGGTCGCCATAGCTGTTCGATGACGCAGGTGATGTACCCGGATGTAGCGATCCTGCGCCGCAGTGGTCGCTCGAGGTCGCCCACTACGAGGGGCATCTGCTACCGCATTCTGCCGGCGATTTCTCTCCCAGAGCCGTGAAATGGTGCTTTGGTGAACCTTCATGCGTCGGGCAACTGCGCGTTGAGACTGACCAGCTTCAAGCAAACCAATGGCGATATGACGGTTGGCTTCACTTAGACGTGGCATTTTGCGTTCGTCAACAATATTCCAAATATAGTGAATAATCAACAGACAGCGATCAACCTTTTATACTCATCATGGAGACTATCTGATCCCCAACTTTCACGTGCATTGCTTGTGAATTGTGTATTGTGTGACACTACACGCCGAAATTGAAAATCATGCCGTTAAATACGGGTATTGTACGGATGGTGCGTTTTGTTGAGATGTTTCAAAACATAAACACCATAGGACTCATAAACAGAGCAAAACCTTTTGTAAAATGAATCACGTTTTAATTCATTGCTACATGAAATTGCTATTTTCATGATGCGTTTCTTTTTAAGGAGAGTATATTTAGTACTCTGAAGTTATACTGTCTTGGGATATTAGCTCGGGCTGCTAGTGAGAATTCTGTCCTCGGACAGAAAAAGGTCAGGCAACGGGTCTTTGGCTTTGTGACTGCCTCTGTGTGAGTCTGCTCGTGGCAACTAATACCTGTTATACAGTGCTACCGAACTGGGATGTCATTTTATTCACTGAGAAGCCATTTTGTGTAGCTACTCGAGGGTCTGTCTGGCTGTGTGTGACTGAGTGTGTGTTTGTGTGGATGTGTATTTTTGTTTGCGTGACTTTGTGTATTCGTGTGTCTGTGTGCATTTGAGACTGTGACAGGCTGTGTGTATTTGTGTGTCTGTGTGCATTCGAGACTGTGTGACTGTGTGTATTTGTGTGACTGTTTATGTTCATGTGTGTGGCTTTGTTTGACTGTGTGTATTGTGTGACATTATGTGTAGCTGTGTGTTTGTGTGCCTGTGTGTAAAGGTGGGACTGTGTATGTTTGTGTGTGGCTGTGTGTAAGGGTGCGGCTTTTTGTGTTTGAGTGTTAGTGTGGCTGTGTGCATTGGTGTTGCTGTGTATGTTTGTGTGTGGCTTTGTATATTTGTTTGACTGTGTGTGTTTGTGTGCAATTGTGTGGCTGACTACATTTATGTGACTGTGTGTGTGTTTGTGTGGCTGTGTGTTAGTGTGGCTGTGTTTGTTTGTGCGTTTGTATGAATGTTGTTGTTTGTGTGTGGCTGTGTGTTTGTATTTTGTGGCTGTGTGTATATGTGTGTCTCTGTGTGTAGCTGTGTATATATGTTTGCGTTGCTGTGAGTGTGTATTTGTATGGCTGTGTATTTGTGTGGCTGTGTTTGTGTGTTGCTGTGCATATGTTTTTGTTACTGTGTGTATTTGTTTGGCTGTGTGTGTTTGGGTCTCAGTCTCTCTGGCTGTGGCTGTGTTTGCCTGTGGCTGTGTGTATGTCTCCGTCACTCTTAATGATGGAAACTCCAAACACACACGTCATAGAGACCCCGAGCTTTCTTTACTTTTTAGATTTCAGCACATCTACATGGAACAATGTGTGCATGGTGTTAAAGCTGCCTAAAGAGAGACAACACGGAACAATATGTGCATGGTGTTTAAGCTGCCTAAAGAGAGACAGCACAACGCTGTGGGTTTCACATTTTCCGGGTACATGCCTGTACAGCTCTGTGTAAAAATGTGTGCTTGTGAAATTAGGGAAGTCATTATATCTTGTTTGCAGTTCAACGCCGCACATGTAAATAGGAAACGATGACATGTGTCAACCAGGGCAGCAAACCTGACAACCCGATAGCGTTAATCGCCTCTCACAAGTATGTGTTGCTGAAGGCCTATTCTAACCCGGATCATACGGGTTCTGTTGTGTTCTGTTGTGGGATGACATCACTATTCTGAGCAATACACTGCACTGGGGACATGACATCATTGTGTACAGTGCCCGTGATAAACCAACCCGCTTATCAGCGAATGCTCTCATCACCCCGCTAACAACAGTACAGGGAAGAAGCTTCACAAACAATGAGGGGGCGAGCTGGCTAAGGCGCCAGGCTACTGATCCAGAGAGGTTGAGGTGCCGGGATCGAGCCCACCTGTGACCGGTTGTAAAAACCTTGGAGTCAACTTTGTGTGCAGACTCTTTCAGTGTTGTAACCCCTAATGTACAGTACACAACCCTCGGCACTTAAAAGAACCCACGAATCCGTTGGTATATGACCAGATGGTGGCCACATGAATACTTGCAAACACCTAGTTGCGGGTACAGCAACGTGCAGTGAAGTTGGACAAAGTGCTGTGACTATGTGTCCCAGTCCACCCAGCTGTGAATGGGTACCTCGTTAGGATGAACAAGGCACAATAACTCGGTGCGCCTAGTGGCTGCAAGAGTTGTATACTCCCCAGGGAGTTGAGATTGACAATACGATGTGCAGTTGATATTGACATCCAATGATCGAGGGAAAAATACCAGCGCCTTGAGCATGCACTAGTGCATGGATATGTGCGCTATATAAATATCCTATAATAAATAAAAAAAATAATAAGAAGAAATATTTATTCAATCTAACATGTTTACAAAATACAATCTTCAACATTAACGGATAGGTTCTGTAAGTTTAGCTTTGCAATTAACAATACTGCCCACTCAATAAATAAACGAGTTCTTATCAATCCGCCTTACATGTGAATTGTTTAACTGACTGGTCAGTGTTTTACGGTTTCAATAAAATACGTTACAAAGTTGGCATCATAACAAATACAGAATTATTCATAAACTTATGAACAATTTATTCAATAAAAGGTACTCATGATATTCACATAATCATTTTATCATGTACAAGCACAAAAACATCTGTAGCTCCTTGGTCACTTGAAGGAAACTTGATTGTCGGAATTTGGATTTTTACGTCGCCCGAGCTATGTATTATACAATTTACTGGATAACATTTTGCGGTCCGGTAATATGAAACAGAAATTCAGGAAAGTGGAATATCACTGCCAAATAAGGAATACACAATCATGAAATAGGAAGTTCAGAAACAGCGGCAAGTGCAAGGAATTGAGAAGGTTCTTGAGCTTCATGTCTTCAAGCAGTCTGCTCAACGCACGTCCTCTTGAGTTTGTCGTAGATGTGTGCTCCGTGTTCCTGTGAACACCTACCCGAATACACCATCCGCTCGCCCACACACACAGCAAAGTAGGGGGAGTTAGACATCCCCTCCCATTCGTTCAAGCCGTCGGGAAGACCCCTGCAACTTGGGTAGGTCAAATAGCAAGGCCTGCAGTGAGCGCGATCACACTGATGTCGACGGTAGTCACCTGTCACAGAGAGAGCATGAGTGAGTGAATGAGTGAGTGAATGAGTGATTTTATTTTAGCTAAATTAAGCCACACTGATGTCGACGGTAGTCACCTGTCAGAGAGAGAGCATGAGTGAGTGAATGAGTGAATGAATGAGTGATTTTATTTTAGCTAAATTAAGCCAAGTAGGTTTGACGCAGAGGAAATACTGAGGTCACATATGTCGTAGATGTTTGACCACTTTGGTAAAACCCATGGGTCTTGACAACTGGAGGTTTACACCTGTTAAGACCAAATCTTGACAGTAAGCTTCCCACACCCATGAGAACTGTTGAAACTGTTTTTCTTGACTCCTGTTTGATAATATGCATGGACACAGTTGTTTAAAGTCGACAAAAGTAAAAACGTCCTTATTTCGATCACTCACTTTCAAGGGCCAGGCCCCGATTTCTCGAAACAAACTTAAGTCTGAGTTTTGACTTAAGTGAGAGTTTTTACTCAAATTTGAAAAAAACGCAGGAAAATGCATTTCCCAGAATGAACTGAAATCGATATTTAACTCAAACATAGTAGACAATTGAGTTTGGCGGCTAGATTAATTAAGTTGTTTTGGGCGCTTTTTATCTTAAAATGATTTAATGAGTTAATGATTCAGCTGTTTCAAATTATAAAACTGTTTGAAATTTGAGTAGGTACCCGGAAAATGGGAAATCTGCAGCGTTGTGTTGTCTCTCTTAAGGCAACTTAAACATCATGCACATATTTTGTTTCGAGAAATCGGGGCCATATTAAAGACATTGGTCTCTGAATGGTTTTAATGTGAAATGTAAAATACTCACAGTGACCGTTGGGTACCTCCCTGTCTCCGCAGTCGACCATGGTGTAGTGTTCGCACTGCTTTGTGATGACGTTCCAGACTTGGGGGTAGTGACACTCCATCAGATGCTCAGGCCAGTAGTACGACTGTTTCCCTGCTGAACAGTTGTAGTACTTGGCACAGTGGTCGGGGTGGGGAATCAACTCGGTCGACTCCGGCAGACAGTCGACCACTTCGTTCTCCTTGGTACCTGGCGAATGATGATTCTGGTTTTTAATCAGATATTGAAGTTTTATATTTTCTAACAAGGTAAGCTGTTTTCCAATTAAATGTTGTTAAAGACATTTGCACTACATGTGAAGGTGTCGTTGGTACAAATATTGCTGTTGTCAAGGGGTTTCAGCTATTTGGCTGGTCTTCTTCGGAACACCATTAGGACAACAGAATGACCAAACAAGTGCTATGATCTAATTAGCCCTACTACTTACCCACTGAAGCCGCTGTTGTCATGGCCACAAGGAGGCAAGCGAGTACAACTCCCAATGCCATGATGAAATTCAGTGACACGAATTCACCTCACTACGCAAGAATTGAAGAGCTCGGTAGGTTTAAACTGTTTCGTAGCAATATACAGTATTATTGCACAGCCCTGTGAATTGTGATCTGGATGGGTGACATCAGCGTATTTATACCTTTTTACAGTCATGGAACGCCCATGAGCCATATTTGTGGCATCCTGGGTTAATTTAGGACGTCACGTCTGTAAAAAATTCTGTTTTCACATTTGACAGCTGATTGGCTAAGCGGAGGGCTCGCTTGATGTGACGTCACGTGCGCCATCTGGTGATAAATCAGCGAAGTAACTGCCCGCTCGTCGTACATCACGTCAGTTATTGGCTATGGAGACGAGGAGGTGGGGATGTATCATATCATTTCAATAATAGACCATATCTCTGAAATGACATGTTTATTAGGAAGACATGAAATACACAGGCGTTGTTACCAGAGCTGTATAGTGTTGAAACTGTTTGTTTTTAAAAATGTTTTCGTACATGGTTTAAACATTGTGAACGCAAAGGAAATATTGAGAAATATTTTTTTCATGTTAATTTTCAATTCCAATTCAATGTTTTCAATTGAACCATGCAACTTAGATGCCTGTTAATGGGTATAACGTACACACGCAACTTTTGCAGCTGTACGGACTCGCAAGTCGGGTAACAGTGAGTGAGTTTAGTTTTACGCCGCACTCAGCAATATTCCAGCTATACGGCGGCGGTCTGTAAATAATCGAGTCTGGACCAGACAATCCAGTGACCAACAGCATGAGCATAGATATACGCAACTGGGATACGATGACTTGTGTCAACCACGTCAGCAAGCCTGATCACCCGATCCCGGTAGTCGTCTCTTTCGACAAGCATATGTTACTGAAGATCAATTCTAACCCGGATCTTGACTGACTGACTGACTGAGTTTGGTTTTACGCCGCTTTTAGCAATATTCCAGCAATATCACGGCGGGGGACACCAGAAATGGGCTTAACACATTGTACCCATGTGGGGAATCGAACCCGGGTCTTCAGCGTGACGAGCCAACGCTTTAACCACTAGGCTACCCCACCGCCCCCCGGATCTTGAAGGGTTGAGTCGGGTAACAGTGGTGATTCAGTATTTTCGTTGGATCCTGTTCTGGAGCCTCATTTGGATCCTTCCACCACTAGGATATCCTGTTATTACCTTTAAGGAAAACAGTTTACATCATAAAGTTTGAGATATGTACTCTTTGACTATACAATAACATTGATCTGATTTACTGCGTTATAAATCATAGACACTTGGGATCAGCTGCACAAAACGTCGTAAAAGCATCCATACTTTCGACGCCCCACAGTGCGTCATAAGCAGCATCCATACAATTGACTGACTTCACAATGAGTCATAGAATTGTAACCCCTAACATGCAATCGCCATCAAGCACGTGATACACATGCTCACAGAAGCCACTTTCACAACACACATATGCAAATGACAAAATATTGACCTCCAAACCTAATTGCATAAGGCTGTCGTAGAGATTACATACGTACGCATCGTTAGCACGCCTACACACACGCAGACATACAATGAACACGTCCGTGACATGAGAGGGGAGGCGTGTCATTGTCAATATTATCAGACCGCCGACCACATTGGTTGAACCTTTACCAGCGACATATCAGTATAGTTTAGTTAATCTCTAGTAACACTGTTCCTCATTATAAATCTACTGTTATTGTTTGATTCTTGCGATTTTCCAGAAGATTGGGTCAGAGTAATGAACCCCACTGTAAAATAGTAAAACTAAACATCATGACAACTAAACTATAACAGAACTCCCTCTTAAATATTTTTGGCAATTTTTTCACTTCAATCTTATCTTCTGAGGATGTTAGTTGAATACGTTGCTAAAGCGGCGTAAAACTCAAACCAACAAGTTCACTCACCACTAATCTTAGATCTGAGGACTGACTGACTGACTGAGAACGGTTTTACGCCGCTTTTAGCAATATTCCAGCAAATATCACTTCCACGGCGACACACCAGAGAAATGGCTTCACACATTGTACCCATGTGGGATTCGAACCCTGGTCTTCAGCGTGACGAACCAACGCTTTAACCATTAGGCTACTCCCACCGCCCCTTAGATCTGAGGATGCGTAACTGGGTAGAAATTAATGATATCAATAATACATGAAGCAGAGACTGGCTTTTTGAAATGATTATTCAACCGCACGATCACATTTTACACTCCATGTTATTAAGCCTTCGAAAACGTTGATGTACAAATAAATTACTGTATGCTTTAGTAAAGGTGCACATGGTTAAATATTTTATTATGCTCAAAATATCAAAACCACGTGTACGAGTGGAACCATGAAAAAAGGAGTTTGTTTTAATCTAGTGGCGTCAGACAGTGATGCATGTTGAGTCCAGTTCTTTTTTATGGTATTTATATGATTATCAATGAATTTGTACACGAAAATGAATAGCCTTCGAATTAGAAGTACATTATGGAAAATAATTTTGATGAAAGCATTATGTTATTTGAAGATGATGTAGCACTTGCAGTTCTCAGACTGGAAAAACCAAATATTTTAGGATCGTTTTGTACTAAATGGGTCTTTTGGGGGTAAACTTACTTATGACAAAACTAGTAGTATTTGGAGACTGATATCTACAAAAGACAGAATGTTGGTTTTAAAGCTCAGACATTGAAGTTGTATCACATTATACATGTATTGACGACTTATTATTCTCTTCATGGTTAGCTTGTGACCAAAGCTTGCGAAACATTAGCTATTTAAGCATAAAGGTAGCTACATTCTCAAAACGAATAATGTTAAGAGAAAATTAGGAATGTCAATCCTATGAATGGGTTTCACTTAATTGTGCCTCATATGTATTTAAACAAAGGCCCAAGGATGTCTAATTCTAAAATTGGCATTGTAATAAGGCTCAAACTCTTCATTCCTTCATGTTTATATCTTATAAATACTATAGTTCATAAAAAATATTATTAAGAATAAGCAACATTTCTTGATACCAGAACATTTTACAAAAAATAGTAGAGTAACGTTTCAAAAATTTGCAAATAATGTTGGGTATGATGGAGCCGTCTGTCGTCACGTTTGTAAATCTTCTTTCCTCCAGTAATGGATCTTATCATGAAAGATTTTAATGGTCATCCCATCTAAAAAAATATTTTTACCTTTGGAATTATACATAATTAATAATACACATGTTTACCAATATCGAATGCATGTGTACATCATTATATATCAGACATGTGAAAGAACTCATGGGCCTTTGGGCTAGTTGTCGCCGTTGGTCAAATAGATCGACGTATGTCGTCAGCACTATTTGTCTGTCGATATCAAGGATTGTAAATCTGACTATAAAACGCTAAGATCCCGGTCCAACAACCGTCTATCATTTTCTCCTTGCCATTTCCACGAATCCTTCCTGTTTCTGATGAGTTTGTCTGGTTTTTAACGATGAGAAATATACAGCAACCCAGTGACACAGTTTGGTGTTACAGTAGGTACCGATTTTTCCCACCTATGTTCGTGCATATCATCATGAATACTATTGCACGATTGGCGTTTGCACGAAATTCATAACACAATGGAATAATCTTACTTCATATTACGAAATTATACAGCTTGGTTCCTGAATACTATCACCCCTAAATGGAATGTCCCGTCTGTTTTAGTCTTCTGGTTAAAGTGTTCACTCGTCACGCCGAAAAAATTCGGGTCTGATTCTCACCAAGGTGTGAAATATATTTTATTGTGTGCTCCACCACGATATTGGTGGAATATATATCTAAAAGCGACGTAAACCCACAGCTACTTACTTATAATAATGCCGAAAAAGTCTTCTTATACTATCTTCCAACAACTACGATTATATATTTACAGAACTTAAATCTCTCATACAGTCGAACCCAGTTTTCCAAACTAACATCCGCCATTCAGTAACATGATTCTGATTTCAATCGTTTGCATTCTGTTTAGCTACACCTTAACAGAAAATCCATAATTTCCCGGATTAATGGGTTTTCTGTGTGAATTTACCATTATAAGCAAACTGTAGCGCGAAATTAGGTTTGCGCAACAGAGAGAGAAAAAATAACTCAGTCTTCCTATGTGGGCGAAGGGAGCAAAGGTTTGCAACATTAATTTCCCTCGCGTCGTCGTCTGAATATCCGACCAAATCAAAAGTCGTGAAGGTTGTGCCTTTCCTCAGATTTCCAACCTCTAAATATTTCTAATAATTATCTCACGTAAAATATGTTTCTGTCAGCAACAATTCAAAGTGCCACTCGTGGTATATCAAATCGTTCACCTCCATTACCCTGCCAGCTTCCGGTCTAACGGACACTCCGGCACACAGCGATGACTTACGATAACATCACTGCCACAGGCTCAATTTGGTATATCACGTGACTGGACTTTTCTCTCGTTTGTAACCAAACGCATATTCATAAGAAGAAGATCCTGACTCACGAGAAAGCTTTCGGTGCCTCTTCATATCAATGTTTTACATTGTTACATATATATTCTTCCACAACTGCGACAGTAAGGTCCATGATAGTACATA